AAGTGCAACAGTCGTCATGATAAGAATGCGATAACCAGGATTGTTTTCTGATGATAAAGATTATTGATAAAGATTAATATAAAAATAATAACTTTTAAGATTGATTAAAATAAGACATTTTAATTTACCAATACTGATATCATTTTTTGAATGTCTATATGATGCGTTCAACAATTCCTTTAATAGTATTGGTGCATTAAGATGAAGCTCATTGCCCGGCGACTTAAGGAAATAGGACGACTTTGTTAGTAGCTAATATATTAACCGATTTTCTATAAGATAGGCGTCTTGAATTATACCTGAATAGCTTCATAACATAAAATGCTCAATCCCTCGCAATAAACATCCGTTGGCGATTCATTAAATGAATCGACTATATAATTAACTATTTGCGCAAGATTTTCAGCATGTGCATGGCGTAGGAGGAATGCAAATGCTTCAGCAGCGAAACGACGAACGTAAGGCTTCTGATATTCCTCGCCAAGCAAAGGTGCCATGAGTCTAATCGGATATGAATTGCTCACATTACGACGATCATTAAAAAAAAAAAAAACAGGTCTACTTCTAGAAAATGTTCCTACCGATATGCTGTACATAGATCCTCGATGATTTGGTTAAATAAGTACTTAAATAAATAGGCTATGCATTTAAATGTCCACTTTCAACAAATTCGATGCAAATTCAATGTCAGTAAATGAATTTTAACCTGAAAAAGATAATAAAAAATCGTAATTTGGGGCCCTACGGTAAAAGGTGGTGATGCACCAAAAATTTTTTTCTGTAGTTTTTTTATATTTGTCTAAATAATCTAATTTTTGCAAAAACAAAGTTTTTACAAAAAATTTTTTTGGTCCATCACCACCTTTTGCTGTGGGGCCCTCCATTTATTGATTGATTGTGAATGTTCAAAAGTACCTCCAGGATCTTGACATCTCGAAGTCTTGTAAGAGGTATTATTACTCCAACAATTCGCTCAAAAAATGGATAAAAATCTATTTCTAGATCTCTCGACAGTTTCGTAACAAGACTAAAAGTAAAATATTTTAATGGAGATTTAAATTATAAATATACACATATTATAGCATTAATATATGTACTCTAGTAGTGGTTCCAGAGCAAGACTATCTTCGACTTGAAGGTGTTTTTCCAAAATTTGAATTATCTTTTCTTTATGATATATTATTTGGGGTAATGACTGACAGTATTCCGAGACTTCACGTGCAAAAATTTTAAAGTGCGCTGACAAATTAAGTTCCTTCCATGAATCCAAAGACTCGTAAAAGAACGATCCGAAACCCTATAAAAAAAAAATTAGCAAAATCTAGCATTCGCAAATCAATTGTTGTTAAGATAATTATCAAATTGACAAATATCCAATTAATGAATATCTGATGTTTTAAATTTCGGAGTACTATCGAAAAAAAAGTATTGATAAAAATACCTCAGGCTCTTGTTCCTTCGCCGCAGAGGCTGTGATGTCGATTTTCAAATTTTCTACAAGTGCATTGAAAGATTGATACTAAATAAAGTAGATCGAGCTATCTTAACGTCTTATTCATAGATATGCATTTCGAATGACTTATATATTACCTTGTATCGATTTTTTCCCTTCCCAGTATTTAATTCTTTAGACATCGTATTATCCTTCATTATGTTGGCTACATTTAATGCAATTGATTATCTGAATCTTTTTATAAAAAAAAAAAAAAAAAAAAATTAAGGTCACGAGAAACCTCCGTGATACAAGATACACACTGTTGCAAACATTCATTTTTGATACTTTTGCACCTACTTTCTTTTACTATAATAACGTGTAATCTTATTGGTTAAAAAAAACTTGATATTTCGCAGTATATTATCGCTATATGCGTACGTAGTAAATTTCATCCACTTTAAAGGCTATTTACTTCAATTAACGTTACTAAAATGGTCAAATTTAGCAGTCGCACTTTCTGAAGACAATAAATTCTATTTAAAAAAATGTTCTCAATAGTTATTTCACTGTCTCCTCATTTAATTTATAATATTGATCATGAATTAAATAATCATGAATGAATTACTGTTGTTATATAGATGCGTGTGGTTGACTTAGACCTTCCTAAATGCAATCCCCTAAATGCATAGCCTCTCTTAAGCGTTTATTTTTCATTTTCGAATTATTTCTTATTCGCTTTTTAGCATTGATCAGTGTAATAATTATTTATTGACGGGTCATTTAAAATGAACTACTGTATTCAGTTTTTTCGATAATTTTGTATTTGTATAAATTTATTGGTAAATATTTAAAATAAGTTAATCTCATTAATCAATTCACTATATCACAGACCAAATAAGACTTGAGTATTTGGTAATTATCCAAATAAATTTTTTTTTTTTTTAACACCTGCCGGCATGATCGCTGCAGGACGCCATATGGCGTATAATTTATTTATTAACTCATTTAATTAACGAGGCTTTCTAACTTTGTAAGGTCCCCTACATTTAAGAATCTAAATGAGCTAATTATCTATTTATTTGTATTGGTGGACATAAAACGAAGACTTAGGTAATCAATCCAGCGATAATCACCCTTGTGTGGATCTCACAAAAACAATATTGCTTATGTGGACATAGATTAGTTACCCTCAAAATCGCTCCAGCGACAACCACCCTTAGGTGGGGTAACTCAAAAGCCTTGATTATACTACGTAAAAAATATAACTACCTGTTCCTCTTCGTTCACATGTACTGTTTCTCCTGTAT